GAATACATGAAAATGTGAGTTGGTTTTGGCAAAGCGAAGCTCTCTCACAGCCAGACCGACGGTTTTGTCGCCTGCGGGCGAGGCCGGGTGGGGAGCAGCTCCGGCTCTGACATCCGGCAGCGGGCGAGCCAGGTCGGCGCCCCGGGCCGCTCCGAAACCCGGCGGTGACTTAGGGAGCAGTAGGGGAAAAGAAGAACAGCCAGCGGCTGTTTGTGTTCGCTTCAATAATACAAGTGAAAGTCCTGGGTATGTATTTATGTTGGTTACACACACACACACACTCAGGGGTGCGACTGGGAAAAATAGAGGACTCCGCACAGAACTGCCTGCAATTGCCGGTCAGGTGGTCCGAGGACTCCTACCTACTGCAGTCAGACGCCTTGTGAGTTGTAAATTAAGTCCTCAGTGATTTAATGATGGAAGTAAGGGGGCGAGGAAGGAAGGTATGAGGAAAGAAAATGAAAAGAGGTAGCGTAGGACAGAAGCTCCAATGCCGTCGGAGCCCCTGCTTCTTCCCTCTCAGCGGGGCAGCCCCGCAGGCCTGGCCGCCGGCCTCCTAGGGTTGTGGGCCGGCTGCTGAAGGTTAAGAGTGGGGCCGCCCTCCAGCCGCGCCCAGGCCTCGGCCCCAGCCCGAGACACACCTCTGATCACGAAGGCCAGGCACACCCAAGTGTGAACACTGCTTCCAGCGTGCAGGCCTTCCTCACTCCTAAGCTGAGCCAGTCGGCTTTGAACCGCGTCGAGGACCACAAGTCTAAGTTTCAATGCGTCCAATTCGCCCCCCACAGAAGGGCTCTTAAGCTCCTTATCCGAGTAGAGGGCCAGGACTGGGGTTCGGGACTCGGGGAGGGATGGCGTACTCGGGACCACCCCACACCGAGCTGGGCCCCTGGTGGACGTGACTTGACAATAGCCCCGTCGAGGGAAGGGGCGGCAGGGAAAGGGGCAGTATTAGGAGAGCCAGAGAGGGAAGAGCCTCCAGTGGACAGCTGCCGCCCCAGTCCCCCCTCTCGGCCCACCCTGCGGTCCAGCTAAACGCGAGAGACTTCGTCGCCGCGAGAGGCAGCCGGCTGGGCCCGAGGCACGGGTCCGCGGCCTCGCCTTTCGCTGTCATAATTTGAGTCTCCCTGCCCAGCGAATATGCAAGGCAAGTGCTTCGGCCGGGTCATGCTGGGAAGGGTAAGCCGAGGCAGCGCGTTCGGCTCAGGACCGCGTGCCGCCCCTCCCACCGCGGCGCTGCGCGGGCCCCACGCGCGTAGCGGGCGCAGCTTCCGGCAAGGGCGGAGCTGCTTCCTCCGCTCACGGCCACCTGGAGTAATCGCGCACCCTACCGTCCTGGCCGCCGCGGCCTCCTCCACCGGGGAAACCGGCCCTCCCTGCTACCTGGGCCGCCCCAGGCTGCCGCAGACTGGTCTTCATCCCGGCGAGTTTGGCCCGGGATGCCCCAGGAGTGGCCACGTGGCTGTCCCCGTGGCTCCCCTGCCCGGAGTCCACCCTGTCTCTCCGGAGCTGAAGACCAGTCTAGTTCCCCTGAACGGTCAGCGCAATCTTTGCAAAGCAGTTTTGCAATGGTGTAAGGCCGTATGTGGGAAAAGGCTGAAAACCCAGCAGGCTATGGCAGTCGAGTAAGTTGTTGCCTGGCCGCCTACAGGCCAGCAGCCCCGAGGCAGCAGCATTAGTTTACATATGTTTGTGTGCATGCATGTACGTATTTTCCAAGTCAGAAACCCGACGTGGCCCCGCTGATTTCGCTTTTAAGCCTTGGGGAAAATGACTGTCATCTGGGTACTCTAGAACCTCACCTCTTGAATTTGTTAAGTGTCTTAGGATGCCGTCACTGAGATGCAGAGTGGTCCGGAGCCAGTCGAACTACCATTTCTCCTTCTTCCAAACTTGCGGCTCTAGGAACCGAAATCCCTGGCTGTGGGACGCCTGCGGGGTTCAATCAATCGGATTTCGCCTAGCGGTGCTGCGTGGGGCATCTGCGGAAGAATTCAACATTCTCTTCCCCCTTCTCCACGACAGGAGGCGCTGTGTTCGTGGGAATCCCCTGGGCTGCAGACCCAGGAACGCCCAAGTTGGATCAAGGATATGAATGTGGCAGTTTCCATCTGCACCACCGGTCTTGGGTTTTTGAACAGACCTGAGAGAAATTTCGCTTTGGCCATCACACCATGAACAATGAACTTTTTTTTTTTTTAAGTCAACTTAAAAAAAAAAAGATGAGACCTAATAGATTTGGGAAATATGTTTAAAGCAGAATATTTGATATGTTCATTGACCCTCTTCAAGGGGACAGCGTTTTTCCCTAAAAGCACTGGCTTCTTGTACGCCATAAAAGCTATTACTACATTGTTACTATCCACAGAAAATATCCTAGTCTTGCTCCATGTTTTTGGAGAGCCAAGAGGACGTTGAAGAATCAGTCACCTCAGGAGGGAAGGAGGAAGCTCACTGGCACTTAAATTCCCCCGTCAGGCCGAGAAAGTTAAGCATCCGTGTACTTTACAAATGGAATTCAAGTCCTGCTGATGGGAACTCTGCACAAAAGAAATAGTTTCTGACACACATTCGCAGATACATTTACACAAACTGATGGGACAGAAGGCTGTATTGGGGAGGATTCCTGTTTTGTTGAGTTCCAGGTGGATTTAATTTCCTTCTCATTCCTTTCCTTACAATGTGATGCCCCCCCGCTTTTAAAGAGAATTGCAACTCAATACTTTTATCTTTTTTATTTCCTTAACTGCACATCTTCACCCTCTATGCTCCCTGCTGATTTAAGAGATTTGTTTGGTTCGCGGATTTAACATGATTCTTTTGCCAGATTTCAAGGAGAGATTTAAAAGAACAAAGGGGGTGTGTAATAAGGTCTGTTTGGAAGACAAGTTAAAACACATTTCTTAAATGAGATTAATAACATTTAAGAAACTTTACAAAACAAGAATATTTTGCAGATTCTTCATGACTCGAAGAAGATTTTACTTTATTGCTTCTTAAGGAAGCCTAGTGGTTCTACAGGCGGTACAACGTCCATGGTCAGATACTCAGAAACACACATGGTCACATCCACTCAGAAACAGTCACACATGCTCAGAAATACATGCGCCATCTCCCAACCTGTCACCCACTCATTGCCTATTACCCAGCCTTTCAGCTGGTCTCTTCCCCCAGGACTTGTGGGTAATCTGCTATCCAGGGTCTCCTAAGAGTCAAGAGGCCTTGCGTGGGAGTGAGGGGAGAAATTCCCACTGGCATCCGGGAGCGATTAGAACCAAGCAGACCCCAGAGATTCCAGCCCGGCCTCTCCAGGTCAGAGACCCGATCTGGCACCAATGTGGTCTGGTCCCCAGCTTGTGCCTGGCACCTCTTCAGCAGTCCAGATGCGTTCCGCAGCCAGGCCTTTGCTTTCCTAGCTAACGCGTGTGTTAGGGAAATGCCCCTCCCCCTGACCTTTCCTATCAGAAACCAGACGGTCGCCTACAGCCCAGTCCCCTTGGCTGCTGAAGGGGGGCGGGAGGAGGAGCCCAGCAGAGGTAGGACGCCCGACTTGGATCCTGCCCTATCACACAGACATCTGCTCTCAGTTTCTTCCTCTTTGCGATCTCTACAGATGACAAGGGGAGTGGAGCGGACCGAGGCGAAAAAAAAAAAAAAAAACTTATGTCATAAAGATATAAAACGGTGCTGTGACTCACCTGCTCCTAGCCGCAGGTACAAGTTTTGTGGCAGCGCCTCCGCTCTGCTAGCCGGGAGCCCTGGTCGGCCTAACGTCACTTGTCTAGGCTGACTCAGATGACCGGGTTTCTAGTGACGAAGCAAAAGTGGGGCTTTTTCCCTGTTCTAGTCTGAAGGTCTGAAGCCCAGGAAGAAAAGGAAAAAAAAAAAAAAAAAAAAAGAAAAGTCTGTATTCTCCAGTATTCCGGAGTTGAACTTTGGGTCAGGAATCAGGAGGGAGGGGGCAGGGAGCGCGCAGAAGAGCTAGAGGTGTGCAGGACTGGGCCACAGCAGGGCTCCACGGGTGGTAAGCGCTTCTGGGGAGGAGCCCGGGGTCGTTTAGTCTGCACGGTCTCTAAGCCCCAGCTCCGATGCCACCGCCCCCGGCCTTCTCCCGCCGCACAGTTCCCCAACAGAGCCCCGGCCTGTCGGTCCGGCCCCGCCTATTTTTCTTTTTTCTTTTTCCAAAGGAGGTAACACCCCTCCACCCCGTTTCCCTCTTTCCCTAGCTTCTACGCTTAAACCAATTACACTGCTTTGCAAACAAAGTGAGGGCCGGG